GTCATTATCCATGAGTTCTTTATTCCTATTAACTTCACGAGAGAAAGAAGAAATATCAAAGTAAGGGGTTGGGGAAAGATAAGAAATATAAGCACAACCTTGAAAGTGACCATCTTGACCACCACACATATCACACACATTCTACACATAAGATTGAGTTGGTGCATATAACTTGCTCTCGGGAGTATTTTAATAATTTTGCCATAGGTGGTTTCCTCCACAATATACATAAGGAGGATTAAAAGTAGAATTACCAACATCAAAACTCTCATAATTCCAAAATGCTCTATTTTTAAAATCAACAAGTAAAACAAAAATAAAAAAAATCAAATACAAAAAATAAAAATAAAAGTTCAAACTTGAAACCTAGCAATACGTACACCTACAACTACACCGTTAGTTCCCCAGTAACGGCGCCAAAATTTGATCACGCCCAACTATGCCTTATAAAAAGGACTAAGCGGTTGTTGCAAATATAATCCGGTTTACAAGTCCGGAGTCGAATCCCACAGAGAACTAAGGCTTAGCTACAGTTGTTCAATATCGCTAAGAAACACAAGTCCAAACAATTTCCTAATTATAAAGATTATAATATTTATTTTTATCTAATTAACTAACAAATACTAGAAAGCATTAAAACTATCAATTAACAAGGATAAGGATTGGAGACAAGATTAAGGAGGTCTAGAGTTATGATTTCTGCAATTGTCGGAATCTTTCCCGCTACGTCTTCTATAATTTCGCCTAAGTATTCTCTACCGATCATGAGCGCTCTGAGTGTCGTAATTCTCTCCTGAGTAACTACCACAATTTACTATACATATTCTCCCGAATTACGCTAGCTGGCATTAAGTACGGCTCACTCAGATCGCACCAAGATTTCATTATCCCTAATCCCACCTTTAAACCCTTCGTATTGATCCCTCATATACGTTAGGAGTGATGATGTTCAACAACTACCTAAATATGCACTCTCTCCCGAGTAATATACACTAAATAGGTACAATCGATTGAGAGCTCTTCAACCAACCACAATATAAACGTAGTTGAACAAATAGAGAAATCCAATGGCTCAATTATATAAAACCATAATAAGAATTTATCTTACAAAAGGTTCTATCAAAACTCTAGATAACAAATTAGCTATTCATAATAGTATGCATAACTACAATACTAGAATTCATAACCAATAATGGAAATAAGAAGAAGGAAGTGAAAAACTCGTAGAAGAATTCTCCGCCTTGCTCCTAGTGTGTTCTTGCATCCTTAGGTTGAATCTCCGGTCTAATGTCGGTCTCTCGGTCTGTCCAATCCCCCTCAAAAGTGGCGTTTTTAGGTCTATTTATATGTGTAGGAAAATACCTAAACGTGTAGGCAAAGTCCTAGTCAAACCCGGAGATGAAGTAAGTCTTCAAAACTCGGACTGTGCGCCCCCAGACCTGGACGCGCGAGGCCTAACGCCTGGTAGACCTCGCCCCAGGCCTGGCGTCGCCAGGTATAAAGCCTGGTCAATCTCGCTTCTGCCTCGCCTCGCCGGGTCTATCGCCCGCTACATGCCTGGCGTCGCCAGGTATAAGGCCTGCTCTAGGCCTGGCTTCGCCAGCTATAACACCTGGTGTAGGCCTGGCTTCACCAGCTTCTCCTTTTCAATTGCTCTCGAGCACGCTTTCGACTTTTAAGTATCCCCTTTTCTCTACTTTCATCTCCAATTTACCTACATATAAAATGGCCTTCAATACGGGCAAATAAAGTATAATTTATCATTAAAGCGTATAGAATGCAAGGCGAATAGTGTGCTAAACTATGAATTATAGCCACACATCAAGACACATCAAAGAAAATCACATAATTGCAGAGCAGATTCAGAGCAAATACAACCCAGATTGACACAACCCAGATAGACACAAATTCAAACCACAAATGGGAAAAATCAAAAGGGAGTGCAAATAACAAACCTGAGATCTTTGGAGCATCAAAAAGGACGAACTTGGTGGAACAATGGTGAAATCATCGCCGGCGACAACCACCACAAAAGGGACGATCAGTTGGAATCACCTAGCCGATTTCAATGCTCACTTAGCTTAGCTTTTCATTTCTATCTGCTTTTCCTTTTAAGACCTTCTTGTCTTGTTAGACTTTTATCCTTTTATTAATAAAATAGCCACTAGGAGGTACACAACCTAGTGGCCTTTAATTAAAAAAAAAATATCTATCATAGAACGTATTTTTGAAGGATACAAAAGAGTCATCTATTTATTTTGAAACCTTTTTTTGTCGGTGCTTAAAAAATATACTTTCTGAGAGTAGTTTGTATTTGACCAATAAATTTAAAATATAATTTTACCAATATCATATAAAATATTTGTGCTTGGGCGAGCTTCTAATTAGTTTTTCAGCTTTTGCTACTACTCATAAAATATAATATCTTCCCCCTAAAAGCTTAGCCAAATACCTTAACTCTCTAAATAAGAATTTTAGGAAGGAATTAAAAACTAATTTAATCAATGGAATTATTATCAGTTATAAAGTCATATTTGAATAATTAGTAATGAAGAATTTTAAATACATTTTTAATTAGAAAGTCCTTATTTGAATATGTAGAATGCCCATTTTGCAGTCAATTAAAATTTTATTTAAATAATTCAAAAGTAAAATATCAAATCGATTCTTTTACCATGATTTCAAAATAGATTTTTTAGTGGATAAAATATAATTTCAGTTAAATATTTAAAACTTGGGATAAAATAATATTAAAAATTTGAACCAACAAAAGATATTTATTTCCTTTAATGTTGAAAACGAATAATTAAGTCGGGATAAAATAGTATTAATAATTTGAATCAACAAAAGAAATATATTTTCTTTAATGTTGTGAACAAATAATTAAGTTTTTGAAAATCTAACAACGAAAAATTACACATTTGACCTCACGGCTAGAAATATTTATAGTCGCTAGTCAATATGCATATATTGTACACTAAATATACTATATTATATATCTGACGATTATTTAAATTAAATGTATCACACAATTAGCAAAAGAATTCAATTCAATTCTTTTTCAAATTCATCATACTTAGTTTAAAGTAGCCCAAAACTCATACAATACATAAATTTAGTTCCATCAGAAAAGCATTGCGGTGAAAGAAATAAGAAAATAGAGCAAAATGAGTTATAAAGTACTAAATGTTTCTAAATATTAAAAAAAAAAAAAACTTTTTGCATTCAGTCCAACAAATGATGACTCTGTATATTTTTATATTAAGTTATTTGTTGTAAAATATTAATTAAATATTACTCATTTTTATAGTTTACATTGTCAGATAGCAATTTATTTTAGGAACTATAGCCAACCTCTTCATTCGCAAATCTCTAAAAGACTGCAAGATTCAATTTTTCAATTAGCGTTATTTGACAAATCCATAAAGTACTATGGTAAAAGTATTTTTGTGTTAATTTTTTATTTTCAGTATTTGATCATAGAAATAATAAGTTTCACAAGATTTTCTCACAAAAAAATCACAAATTATAACAAGGCATCAACAAACTTTTGTGTGACATGATCTTTTCTTTATTGAACTAGCTAATCAACATTCATCATTTTTAGGAATTTAACTATTTTTAAATTGTTACTTTATAATTTAAATATATTAATTAATAATATTGATGTAATTTGTCAAAGTTATATACCAATCGATATAGGTACACGCGCGAAGCGCATACCCTAAGACTAGTACCATATAATGCGTTAAGCTCTAAGAATCACAAATTAAAGAGCATATATAACATATTTTAAGTAACTATGATTAAGTAATATTTACTTCCTTAAATTATATACGATACTCTTTTCCTTTTAAAATTTGTTCCATAAAAGATGAGTACTATTATTCAAAAGTTCTTTAATTTTAACACATTTCACACTTAGGTTCTTATAGAAATGACATCACAGGTTGAAATCATAAGATTACATATCAATTAGCATATTAAAAGTATTCAACTTACGTATCAATTTTTTTCTTTTCAATTTGCTATGCAGTCAAACACTATAAGATTAAAATATATCATGTATTGGTATCTATATACACGATAATATAATCATTTTTACACTATTTAAGAAATCTAACAAAAAAAAGTTACATATTGCATGTGAACTTCACTTGGGGTAAGAAATTACGTTATCGGTGCATATAATTTAAATTTATTATAATATTAATTTTTTAAAATAAAAAGTTACTAATTGTAGATAAAATAAATGTACGAAAAAGTTAACTCTAACAGCAGAGAATTTATAATTTCATAAGTATAATCCAAACTGATAAATTTTATGCATTGACGGTATACAAAAGATTTTACATCATAATTTCAGTTAAAAGACAATTGCATGTACTTCTATACAAATATTAATAGGTAGAGTCAATCTCTCTATAACAACATTTTCGTATAATAATATTTTACCATAAAAGTTAAGTATTTCTCGAAACTATTTTTTATGTTGTATTTTACTTTTCTATAATAATTTTTTACCTATTACAATAATAACCGTTTTTATACTATTATAGAGAAGTTTGACGGTACTTAAAATAAGAACAAGTAATCTCTTATAAATATATTAAAATATTATAAGAAAATCTTTATACTATTGGTATATATACCGCTTAAATCTAATTTTTATAGTAAATAATTCTTCGTCCAAAAAGAGATGTTGTATACACTATACACCGCCGCCCAGTCGCCAAATTGCCATATACAGCGACGCCAAAAAAGATTCTGTTTACCGCACACACTTCCAACACAAGATACTCTGTCGGCCCTTTTTTTACGCGCTTGCACGTTCTCAGTACCCACCACTACTTCCCTTATTTTTAATTTTATTCCCCCGTCATGACAATCACCCTAACCATCATACGTGGCACACAACGAGTGGACGGTCGTATTATTTTACGTGACAGCCCCGTCACGCTTATACAAACCCTATATAAAAAATCTTTCTCCCTCTGCGTATCTTAGCTCAACATCCGCCCATTTCTCTAGCCTACGCATTCGCTTTGACGACCGGCCGACTCGCCGGAGTTTTTCCCCGTTCTTTACGGGTCAACGATTAATCAAGCTTCCTTTTTAAAATAAAAACTTTCTCGAAAAAAACGCGTTATATATTCACTTTAACCTACATTCCCTCTTCGTTTTCATCAACAGGAAAAGAGAGAGAGAGAAAATGGGCGTTGATTACTACAAAATACTCAAAGTGTCACGCAATGCGAGTGAAGAAGATTTGAAAAAATCGTACAAGCGATTGGCGATGAAATGGCATCCGGATAAGAACAGTGAGAAGGAAGCAGAAGCGAAATTCAAGCAGATATCGGAGGCTTATGATGTGCTAAGTGATCCACAGAAGCGTCAGATCTATGATATATACGGCGATGAGGCGTTGAAATCGGGTCAATTCGATCCGTCGTCACCTATGAATGGTAATGGGAGAGGATTTAAGTTCGATTCGCGTGATGCGGAAGATATTTTTGCGGAGTTTTTTGGTGGATCGGATGGGTATAGTAGGAGTCCTACTGGGGGTACTGTACGGATTAGGAAGGCGGCGCCGGTGGAGAACAAGTTGCCGTGTAGCTTGGAGGAATTGTACAAGGGTTCTAAGAGGAAGATGAAGATTTCAAGAATTGTTCTTGACGTCACTGGGTAAGTAAGCCTTACAGTGTACTAACACTAACAAAAGTATTTATGAATGACATCATCCTCAATACTTATTTGCTAAATTCTGTATGTTAAAATTTTTTATGTACAATTCTCAATATTCCGGTTTAATTTTTTTACATTCAAGGATTATTCTGCTGAATTGGAGATGATAGTTGTTGATTGGTTCTATTGGGCGGAGAATTTGGCAGTATGTGCTTTTGAGTTTTTTTTTTTTTTTTTTAAGTGAACATTCTGTACACACCTCAATTAATCTACTGGGTAGCCAGTTCAGGCCATGAGCAGAGGCAGCCAAGTGAGGATTGGAACAGCACCCAGTATTGTAGTTAGGATACGAATCTGGATCCTTAGGGAGTTACTCCCGTGCGTAAACCTGCGTCGTTCACCTTTTTTACCCTTCCAAAACATATTTTATATTGGACGAAATTATAATTTAAGTAACTTTCCTAAACTTTAGGACTTTAAAATTAACTGAAATTTTACGTATTAATTCTTTCTTTATTTGAATTATGTAGGAAATTCTAATATTTTGGACTTTAAAATCGATTTAGATTTTACCTTATATAATTATTTCCTTGTTTGAAGCATTGCACAATGTAGCAAAACTGTACAGCATATGGGGGATATGCATGGATTGTATAGAACGAATAAATGATAATTGTGAGTCTAGGGAAAGTTCTTTGATTATCATAGAACTGGCAGAAATACATTTAATTTAAGTTATGCTTGTCAGTCAGGACAGCACCAAAGAGCGAATATAAGTGGTTGGTGTAGTATGAAGTCAAGGTCAAGAAATTAGATATCAAATTCAAGAGGTACTGATACTTTCTTGAATGCCAGATTATCAAAACTGATGCCCAAATGCCCAACATAGTGTTTCAACCAATCTTAGATGTGACCGTTGGAATTAAGCCGAAGGAGTTTTTAGCTTTTTGACTATTTAAAATCAACTCCGCAACAACCATTTGCAAGTTCCACTTGTGACAACAAAGTTTCCTTAATGTGCTTTTACCGTCTGCCTCTTGATGAAGTGTGTGATAATTTTGATGTAAACCTGATTACTTGGTGTGGATTTTGGTGGGAGATTGATAGCGCATTGACATCCCTATTTCCATTAGTAAGAGTCTTGTTCGAGCTATCTTTCAAAGAGTTAGATGTTGTTGTTTTAAGTTCTCATTTTGAAAATGATGGAAATTGAAGTTAGAAAATTGAAAATTTTGGAGTTTACCGACTCCAGAATGATTTATTTTAAGAGAATACACTACCTTCGGAGAACACCAATCTGAATGTATTCTTGAGGTAGTGTTTTTCCTATGCATTTACATACTTCCAGTTATTTTAGACTTAAATCTTCCTTTGCAAGAATACTCCTCTGCTTTGAGGAATTACATGTTACAGTTGGGGAAGACATGCTTCTATCATTTTTTTTATTGCTAATCAGTCTAAAATTTTGGATCAGACATCTGATTTAAGGATCAAAACTACTTTCCCTGATAAATTTCCAGATCGATACACTATACAGAATATAAGTCTAACATTGCTTGCTTATGATCACCAGGGAAGTAGATTATTCATCCAGAATATTTCATTTCCTGCTGGCAATGATATATTTTCTACATAAATTACAGTTGATAGGAGGTCAAAATTTCTGGCTTCAAAAGCAGCATAATCTTTTTTCGGAGGAGTGGGGTAGGAGGTTGAGGGGATAAGACAGCTATGACTTAACAATGGAATTCTGTGAACATGTGATTACTAGCCTTGCATATATTTTCTTTTGAAGTTACAATCAATTATTTTGCACTTAATGAGATTTATCTCTGGGTCTTATCCTCGTCAGTTTTGTCTTCCATGTATGAACTATATTTGCAGTAAGCCTACAACAATTGAAGAGGTCTTGGCGATACACATTAAACCTGGTTGGAAGAAAGGCACAAAAATAACTTTTCCGGAGAAAGGGAACCATGAACCTGGAGCTGCACCTGGTGATCTTATTTTTGTAATAGATGAAAAACCACATGATGTCTTCAAGAGAGATGGAAATGATCTGGTGATCAATCAGAAAATCTCATTAGTAGATGCTCTTGCTGGGAAGATTATCAACTTGACTACTTTGGATGGAAGGGAACTCACGATACCAATCACAGATGTTGTTAAACCAGGACATGAACAGATAATCGCAGATGAAGGAATGCCAATATCAAAAGAACCTGGGAAAAGAGGAAATTTGAGGATCAAGTTTGAGGTTAAGTTCCCGTCAAGGCTTAGTTCAGATCAGAAATCGGATATCAGAAGAGTGTTGGGAAGGACTGCTGACTAATCCAGATCTTAACTTAAGGTGTCACTAACACTGACTGATTGTGGAAGTGCAATGGAATGTAAATACTTGGAAAGTTTATTCTAGACAGGAGAATTGTGCATAGTAGGATTATTGTTTTGACGATGCCTCTCGAAGTTTAGTTTTATTTAGCTCCATAAAAGGAGCAATCTAGCAGCTACGCCAGCTGCCTATTTAATTCTCACGTTGGATATTAAACACCTTAGGTAGTTTACTAGTTTTAATATTTGATTTTAGTAGATGCTATATATCAAGTAACTGGAGTTGGGAATAACTAGCTATCTTGTTCTGGTTGTGAATTTCAACTGTGGGCCACGGACTGTGGCAGACTGGTAATGAATATATTTGTTGGTTTTTTGGCATTGTCATGTCTGGTTTTCTGCCATTGGCATGGATGAAGCATTTTTCGTTTGCCATTTTCCATTTCATATATCTAATTGTTATCCAGGTTTTTGGCTTTACATTTTGCTCATTGCTAAATGTAAAGCAATGAGTTTTTCTGTTACTATGGACATTTATGCAGGGTAACTTCCAATCAGCTACTTGGAGCAGTTGAATTTGGAAGAGAGAGATCCTATGAGCACGAAACAAGCAAGGTTCTTCTTATTCAAACAAATATACACCAATATTGAAAACAGCGCTTTCATCACTCTTATTGATGAACCAGAGATTGGGTAAATACATACATAAACATACATAACGGAAGTTAGGTTCAAGTGCATCACTCTTTAGACATTCCAGTAACATATGATCAAATCAATAATGCCTTTTGGTTTCTTAAGCTCTGTTATTCTCAATCTTCTTCTGCAGCCCATCTTTATTTGCTACCACAACTTTATCAACTACTTTTCCTTGCTTTATCAGCACGAATGTTGGCATTGCTTGCACCCCATATTCTTGAGCTACGTCCTGTTTTCAAACATTCAAAATAAACACAAACGAACAAAACATGCACAATGCAAGCAAAGCATATAATTAAAGTTCATACAGCCAGTTCATCCACACCAATCTTGATGAACTCGACGTCGGTATATTTAGCAGCAAAGTCATTGATAATTGGCTCCATATGTCGGCAAGGACCACACCATATAGTTGTGAAGTCAATAACAATCTAGCAGCCACAAGAAATAAAGCCAATGATATTAGTACAGCCTAATATTTGTACAGCCAATGATAATTTGCTTTTAAAATTTTGGGTCAGTGGAAAAAATCCCTTCGCTTGATGCTGGACTTAATATTTGGCAGGGACCTTTTACATATCGCTTGCTGATGTCTGGAAAAATCTTATTCAAAATAATTAAAGTGAAGAAAAATATGTTCTTTAGAAGTTCAAGACCAGTCATATATATGTGGAAATATGTGATTGTTAGTAATCTCACTTACAGAAAATTAAACTCTAGTTTAGCTTTTGCTTTTTGTGTTGGTGCTGTACTTCAATATTGCTAATAGAGGGGTCAGTACAACTTTATTCTCATACTCCCAATTTTCGCCCATTCACTAATTTGTTTGCTATTATAGACAAGTTTTAATAAGTAAATATTCCAAAATTTTGAGAAGGGAAATACTCCAAAATTTGTTTGCTATTAGGACTACAGAACATTTCTGTGTTTGATAAAAACATTGACCATATCAACAATTGTTTCGTACTGTTTTAAAATACGGCAAAGAGCCAAATATATCCCTTTATTTTTGAAAATGGTCTAAAAATACCCCTTGTTATACTATTGGGTTATCTATACCACTACAGTCATATTTTGGGTTCAAATATACCCCTCATTTAAACGGAGGGACACGTGTCATCGTCCTGTTTGTCAATTCTAAATATCTCCTAATTAATTAAAAAGACTCATTATCCATACCGGAAAAATAATTTTTTTTTTTGTAAAAATGGAAAAAACTAAAAAAATATTTTTACTAAAAACAAAAAAAAACGAAAATATATTTTTTCCATTTTTTTTTACAAAAAACTGCTTTAAAAAAACTGAAAAATATTTTCTAAAACAATATTTTTTGTAAAAACTAAAAAAAAACTAAAAGTAATTTTCTAAAGCAATTAAAAACTGAAATATTTTTAACTAAAAACTGAAAAATAAAAGAAGAAAATATTTGTTTTTTCAGTTTTTACAAAAACACTACTTTAGAAATTTGCTTTTTAGTTTTTTTTTTTTTTTTTTTTCAGTTTTTACAAAAATATTGTTTTAGAAAATATTTTTCAGCTTTTTTTAAAGCAATTTTTTTGTAAAAATTGGAAAAATTTTCGTTTTTTTTCAGTTTTTAGTAAAAATATTTTCAGTTTTTACAAAAAATTTGCTTTAGAAAATTAATTTTCAGCTTTTTTTTTCCAGTTTTTTCAAAAACATTGTTTTAGAAAATATTTTTCAGCTTTTTTTTTCCAGTTTTTTCAAAAACATTGTTTTAGAAAATATTTTTCAGTTTTTTCTAAAGCAGTTTTTTTTTTGTAAAAATTGGAAAAAATAAAATTTCGTTTCTTTCAGTTTTTAGTAAAAATAATTTCAGTTGTTTTCAGTTTTTACAAAATAAATTGCTTTAAAAAATTGCTTTTCGGGTATGATTAATGAGTCTTTTTAATTAATTAGAAGATATTTAGAATTGACCAACAAGACGATGACTCGTGTCTCTTCGTTTAATTGAGGGATATATTTGAACCCAAAGCATAACTGCACGAGTATAGATAACCCAATAATATAATCAGGGATATTCTTAGATCATTTTTGAAAATAGAGGAATATATTTGGTCATTTGCCGTTTAAAATAGCTTTAAGGCATAAAACTGCAATGATGAAGCTTTAACATAATGTACAATTAATGTAGGAGGCAACTAGATAGCATTTCGTACAACAAGTTGATAGATGGATTTCTCAGTAACGTTATTCTGCTCCAAAATATATGTGATGGAAAGAGCTCCACGAGTCAAATCCAATGTATAAGAAGCGTACCTTACGGCTTGTTTGAATGGTTGTTACCTGTTGTATTGTATCGTATTATTACTTTAAATATAATATTTATTTTAATTGTTACTTAAATTTTATTATATCATATTGTTAAATTCGTTATTAAGTAACGATGAAAAATGTCATTTTATGGAACGATCAATTTGGCGCGATCGCGTCGTTACCTTATTTTTTTCTCTCATCTCGCCCTTCCTTATTATTAAATAATTCTATGTTATTCTTTACCCTATATTTTTATTTAATAATTCTACCTTATAATTTACTTTTTTAATATAATATTGTAAGTTTATTCTTCGTATTGTTGGTACATGACATCATGAAACGACAGTAAATAATATAATTTATCTAAATATTGTATACATCAAAACGATACAGTACAATACTATACGATACATTATGAAACAATACATAACAACCATCCAAACAAGCTGTTAAAATATATCGTGCGGTTCATTTACATTACAGGCACCGCCTCAATTAACAAGACAGAAATAACAGCCAGAAAAGTATCCATAAAATCCAGAATTTTAGACCACGGTCCAGCTATTTGGACAATGTGTGCACTTAGTATAAATAAATACGTAAATAACTATCTGTATCTGTGTATTTGTATATATAGGTTATAGTTTAACTTCAAATTAGTAAGTACCATACTACTACGGCGATGGCCTATCCGTATATCTGATCATATTTCGTGGCAGGCTTCAAAATTAAAGTATCACTTTCTCAATATTGATATATTGCTTTATGTCTGAAACTAAAAGGCTTGCTTTTAGCGCAAGAAATTATGACAAAGAAGCATTACAGACATGATTTTTATTGAGATAAAAATTGGATGCGCTCGATTTTGCGGCTTAGTCAAGAAAAGACTTTTTGGTGATGCTCCATTCATCAGAATTGATGTCTCTGATTCTTTTCAGACACTACAAGAGAAGTGGAATTGGACAATGTTTTTTGTTTGTTATTCGTGGTACAATAACATCATTCCCTGTTTTCACGAGTGAGATATTGTAACTTAGCAAAAACTTACATTGGACTAGTGTATGCATCAAAACGATGAGAGTATGACATGTGTCCTTGGTATTGTTTACCCTTTAAAATGAATAACAATTAAATTTATACGCGGTTTTAAGGATATGTGGATTGATTCAACACAAGTGATCAAGAATTTTAGATAAACGTATTGAAGATAAAATAAACAACCAAACCAGTTGTGACGTTGAGTCCGGGCTCGAATGTAAGCTGAACAATGATTTTGCCCTCGACCGGACCCTCGATTCGAAGCCCAACGTATATGAAGAACTAAGATTAAAATAAAAACCTTTCAATAGATAGAAAGTAGAGAAATAAGTTTGTATTGCCTTTATATGCTTGTTACAATGTGTTTATTGAATAAGAAACTCCCCCTTTATATAGTAGGAGAGTTTTATCCCTAAAACAATTCTAAAAAAGGTAAAAATTCTCCTTGTACATCAATCACTGATACGCTACCGAATCGGGCGAGATCTACGCCATGATATCCAGTTGGGTGCGGATATCACAGCCCTCTGTTAGTCGTGTGCAACCGTTTATAGTGCTTTCCGAGGACTTGGAGCTCGTTCCGGGTTCGGGGGGTGTTGTCTTGTTAGGCCCGGTGGCGAGCACCCCATTCTAGCGTCAATTCAAAGAGTTCTCAGATTCGATCTCTATCTCGTACATTCACACTTCTTACTTTGTTTGACTAACCGAGAACTCGGGGTGTGTGCTGACCCCGAGTTCACCTATATACAAATAGTCCCCTCGTTTCTCAGAGATTAGGTTCGCCGAACCGATGGGAAACGATAGATGAACCCCGGTTCCTTCCTTCGTACGTTATAATCGAGGCGACGAATAAGCCAAAATGTCCCATCAGTCGCGTCGTTATGACTTCGGACACGTGTCAATCATTGGCCGGTTGCCTCCGAAAGTGAAACGTCGCGTATTGATTACATTTTCTCCTATAAAGACTTCGACCTTTTGTACTTCTTCCACTTTCCGATCCTAACTTTTATCTTCGAACTCTCTAGCGACTATTAACTCTTTCGAATCTTCATTTCTTTACCTTTGATCTTCAAATCTTCATAACTGTTCTTGTGTTTCTACCCAGATCTTCATCCTACCTTCAAACCTTCATACTTTTTCCTTCAAACCTTCTTATTTTCCAGATCACGATGGCTAAGACTTTCAAATCAGTTCCTTAGCAGGCTATCTCTTCATCTTCCCACCCGGCCACAAGTACCGAGGAAGCCAGTCCCGGGGTGGTTGCTCTCGAGATGGCTGCTCCCAAAGTGACTGCTACCGAAGCAACCCCAGAGCCCCCCATGAAAAGCTTTTTTCTCGGGGGCTGTTCAATCGCAGACGACTTCAAAGTCGAAAA